CAACCTCCCTCCCTACCGTACCTTCCGTCCCCCTCCCCTTCGACCCTCCCTCCCCCCCCTCCTCTCCTCCCCCTCTCCCCCCTCCTCCTCCTCACTGTCGAGGTTCTCGGTGGTTTGGCGCAGCGCCCTCCTTTGCTCGCCTGATGAGCCTGTGCAAGCCTGCCTCAGTCTCCTCGCTGACAAGAACAAGAACATGCAAGCTCATTCCACTTACTCTCGTGCAAACGAGTCGATCTCGACGCCCTTGCCATATTCCGCGTGAAGGTCAAGAACATCCTGTTGCCATTCAATTTCTTCCACCTCCTCCTCCATCATGATCGCCATCATGATCATCATGATCATCATGATGATCATCATCATGATCATGATCATCATCATCATTATCATCATCATCATCATCATCATCATCATCATCATCATCAACCCTCTCCATCACCTCCCCCCGCCTTCGCCTAACTCCTCCTTATCCTCTCTCTCCTTTCTTTCTTCTTCTTGGCCTCTCCCTCGGCATCTTCACCTGTGCGGTCTTGCACGCCGACATGGCGGCGTTGAGCATAAAATTGTTCACAGCGATCCCATTGCTGCTCAGAGCTCAGAAAAGCAAACGGGGAAGGGGGAGAAAGGCGGAAGTAAAGGAAGGAGAAGCATCGAGGGAGAGACAGGGAAGAAGGGAGAACGGGCGAGACCTGACAGCATCTTTCAGCAGATTCTCCACAACTTCTCTACCGCTGCCAACTGCAAGGAAATGAGACGAAGAAGAGAAGAGAAACTGAGGGGGTGGCGGAGGGAGAGTGAAGAAGGGAGAGTGAAGGTACTTCTAGCTTCAGCAGCTATCATGACGGTGTAAGTTCTGTCACTTCGGAGATGAGGAGGAAAAAGCGAAAAAACCTGCGAGCAAGTACTGAATGGCACCCAACATTCTCTTTCTTCTCCCTTCCTCCTCCTCCTCCTCCTCATCCTCATCCTCATCCTCCTCCTCCTCCTCCTCCTCCTCCTCCTCCTCCTTTCACCTCCCGCGCCTCCTCCACCCCCGACACGCTCCCGTCCTCCTTCGCCAGCTGGATGAAGCTCGTTACGGTGTAACAGTCTCTCTCGAGCTGGTCCTTCTCGATGCGGTCCAGCACCTCCTGCTGGGGTTTCAGCTGCAGTTTGGCTGGACTATCAGCTGCCTCACCAGCCCATGTCGCACGCGCGTCTGTCGGAACCTGGCGGACTTGGCCATGAGGTCCATGAGCGAGTTGTAGGTGCGGAGATCTGAGAGCAGCGTCATGGCAGAACGAGTGAGAGGAGAATGAGGAGGGGAGGGACGGACAAGACGATCAAGATGAGAGGGCAAGAGATAAGCATGAAGCACCAGCACCAGCACCAGCACCAGCACCAGCACCAGCACCAGCACCAGCACCAGCACCAGCACCAGCACCAGCACCAGCACCAGCACCAGCACCAGCACCAGCACCAGCACAAGTTTTACCTGGCTTTGTTTCGAAGGATTTCATCCACTGCAAGATTCCTAGCCCATCTTCTAGTCGAGCCTGAGGTCACGGGACAGATCAGGAGCAGGAGCAGGAGCAGGAGCAGGAGCAGGAGAAGAAGCAGGAGCAGGAGCAGGAGAAGAAGCAGGAGCAGGAGCAGGAGAAGAAGCAGGGGCAGGAGCAAGAGCAGGAGAAGAAGCAGGAGCAGGGGCAGGAGAAGAAGTAGTAGCAGTAGCAGTAGCAGAAGCAGGAGAAGGAGCAGGAGAAGGAGCAGGAGAAGAAGCAGGAGGCGCAAGCTCACATTTCCATTGGCCGACGCCTTGGCCGTGACGTCCATGAGGATGTTGAAGACGTTGGTGGTGGGGGATATCCCCTGCTTCCTCATCTCCTGCAGCAGCTGGATGCCGTCGGAGAATGTCGCCCTTCCCCTCCCCGTCAGTTTCGCGATGATCTCCATTCTCGTAGCGAAGGAGGAGACGTCGGGCGAAATCCCCCGCTCCTCCATCTCCCGATCCACCCGCTCCAGGCTCTCCTTCACGTTATCCTTCCCTGCCACCACTGCCTTTGCGATCACCGCGGTGATGGCGTTGTAGGTGGCACAGGTCACTTCGATCTCCTCCTCCTTCATCTCCTCCACCACGCCGAACGCTTCCTCCACCGGATCCTCACCTACCACCTCATCATCATCATCAGCATCATCGTTCCTGTCCTTCTTCTTTCCCTCTTTCGGGTGCGACACGAGGCTCCGCTGGATGATCTCGATGAGGGAGAGGTAGGTCGTCTCGTTCCTCTCCAGCTCATTTTCCTTCATAATCCTGATTACTTCTCTCCCCTCCGCCAGCGGCTGCTCCAGGAACATGGCGTTCTTTGCCAGGCAGTTGAGGTACGCGTTGAAAGTTCCCGTCATCGGCTGTAAGTCGCTCGCCGTCATCTGCTCCCATCGCATCCTCGCCTGGTCCATCGTCTTCACCCTCACGTGCGCTGCCACGTTGGCGCAGACAGTGAAGTAGGAGGAGAAGGTGCGGGAGTTGGGCCTGATGCCGTACTCGCTCATAAGCTTCATCACTTCATCTCCGTCCTCTACCGTCGCGTTCCTCCTCGTAGCCGCCTTGGCAACTCCGTCCATCATGGAGGTGAAGGAGAACACGTTGAGGTGCTGCTTGACCCCTAATCCTTTCGCCCACTCCACCACCTGCGCCCGCGAATGAGAGACGAGTCAAGTTGCTCGAGGGAGAGTGCTGGGATGAGAGAACGAGGGAGAGAGAAGAGGAGGAGGAGGAGGGAAGGGAAGGGAAGGAAGAGAGGAGGAAGAGGAGAAGAGGAAGGGCGGTGAAGAGGGGAAAGGAGGGGGGAAAGGGGGGGGGCTGGAAGAGCGGAGGAAGGGTGAGAGAACAAGAGGGATGACGGAAACAAAGAGAGCTGCAATTGAGACATGGTGGGACCGGGAAGGAAA